CTGCATTTGTGTGTGTGCATATGCCTGAGCGTGTGTGCACACGTGTGCCTGTGTGTGTCCATGCCTGAGCGTGTGTGCACACGTGTGCCTGTGTGTGTCCATGCCTGAGCGTGTGTGCACACGTGTGCCTGTGTATGTGTGTGTGCATATACATACATGAGTGTGTTTTGTGTGTACACGGATGCACATACGTGTGTGGGCTGGCTGCCTGGCCCCTGCTTCTCCCGGGGGACGGGCGTTGCTATGTGTACACTAAACATGTTTGAGGTTGCAGGGAGCACCTGAAACATTAAAACCCTGAGCTGAGGGGTGTGCAGTGGCGGTGACTCACTGCTGACCTGGCTGCTTGACCGGCAGGGTAAACACTCGGCAGGAGGGTTGGAGAGGACATGGCCTCTGATTCAGATGCCTCCGTGTTTTGGACACTGTTGAGTCCTGCGTGAAGCCTGTGGCGTGCATGTGGGCCTCTTCTCTTCTCTCGTCCGTGCTCCCGGTGGCCTTTACCCCTTCCTCACCCGCAAATCCTCCTCCACACCTGTGAGCTGTTGAGCCTGTGTGGTCCCCTGGCTCCAACCTAGCCACCAGGCCTCAGGGTTTTCTGACTCACTAGGCCCATGTGTGGCAGGGGCTGCCCTCCCATGCCCGCTGTGCCCTGGATGTGGGCACCTGCCGCCTGGCACCCCTCTATTGACACTCTTTGGAGCCCTGGCGGTTCTTTCAGGTGGTGGTTCTCGGGCAGAGTTATCCCGCCCATCTGCTGTTTGCTCTGGCAAGGCTGAGTCTGAGCTGCTATTTTAAACCCAGTTTTTCAAGTTTAGGACCTGTCTGAGCTATGAACCCAAGACACGGATTCCCCTGGGCCTATGTATCTGCACTCAGTGGAGGCCAGGGGACAGCCTGTGGCCTCCTTCCAGGGAGGGGGTCCCCACTCCGTGCTGTCCCTAACGTGGGAGAGATGGGGTGGAGAGAGTCATGGAACCCAAAAATCAGACACAGCCCTGGCCAGCTCACTGGCGCTCAGGACCTTCCCGAGCTTGCCTTCTGGACCCGGAAAGCATGGTGGAGGAGACAAGTGAGCGTTGGTGCAGACGCCTGGGGCTCTCTCTTATTTCTCGGGGAGTGGGACTTGGGGGGCAGCCCTGCCCTTGCCCCCTGCAGCCAGCTCAGTGCGCCCAGCAGCGCTCCAGGGGTCCAGTGCCTGGCAGGGGCTCGTTCATCCACCTACCACCACCTCGCATGGTTCGTGAGCATATGGTTTCTAGCAGCTGCTTGTAAAACGCAGTTTAAAAATTGCCTGCGTGGGCTGGATGTGCAGCCACGGGTTTGCAGCTTAGAGCTGAGTGTGCGCACGGGCTGTGTGACCGACAGCAAGGCCATGGGCCGGCGGCGGGGGGGAGGCGGGCCTGTCAGTGCGGGCAGTGGCCGGGGGAGATGCCGGGGTGCTCTGAGCATGTCGGCAGCGGGGCGCAGTGGCCACGGTTCCTCACGAAGCTTCACGAAGCACCTTTCTGGATGTCAGGAACTCCTTTCCTAAATTTAGGAATTGTTCTTCACCGGCGTTCTTACTGTTTTCAAACGTTCTTCTTGAGCTAGTTGTGCACAGACATTTCAGGAATTACGTGTTTTTCGTTTGATCTTGATGTTGACTTACCGTTTTGGGGTCCAAAGCGTGGCCGATGCCGTGGGTGCTGCTCTGGTGGGGAGACGGTGCTGGACCACGGCTTGCTTGTGTCGGACTCACGGACTTGGTGGCCCTCGCGAGGGCTGTGGGGGCAGAGGGTGGGTGTATGAGGGCCATGCCCACCAGGCCGTGTTCTCGGGCTCTTCCCCACGCTGGCGGGACCTCGTGCCCTGTGAGCACTGCCCCCCTTGGCCTCAGTTTAACCGATTCCCACATGCCCTTGGGCAGAGAGCCAGAAGGTGGGTCCAGGGCCCCCTGACACAGGTAGACCCCCGTGTCACAAACAAGACCTCAGACATTTTCCCCACCCCAGAGTGGTGAGTGTTTGTCCTGGGAGAGTTCCGGAATACCAAAAGCACAGAGTAGCAGAATCAAGTTGAAGCTGCCGCTCTTGGGTCTTAGACGGATTCTGAGCATTGGAGCTCGGACCTGTGGGTCTGGGTCTGCTCTGGGCGCCACTCCGGCTCCACGGGACGCGTCCCCGCCGCACACACCAGGGCGGGGGTCAGAAAGTCCGAGGCAGCCCCCAGCTGTCTCACCCCAAGCAGGTGCTGGTGGGGCTCGGGGTCTGTCATTGGCAGGGTGGCGGCAGCCTGGCCTTGTCCCTGGGACCACCCTGGCTACTCGCTCCTGTTTGTCTCAGTGGCTTCCTTCCCGCCAAGGCCGGCAGCCGGGCCCTTTCGTGTCACCTCGTATCCCCTGTCATTCTTGGGCTCTGCCCTGACACATCAGACCCCCAGAGTCAGGATTGGGTAGGAGGACGGTCGAGGCCAGGGCAGACTCGATCTCTCCTGCAGGGACCGGTCAACTCATCTCCCCGCCCCACGTGCGGTTGCCCACCGACCACACGTGGTCACAGCTCCGACCCGACCACGGGAAGCCACGGCAGAGGCAGGGCCTGCTTCCCAGGGCCGTCCGTGCTTGTCCTGTTCCCTGTTGCAGCGCCGTCAGGCCCGAGGTCAGGCCCGCATCTGGAGCAGGTGCAGGAGTAGCTTCGGGAGCTCAGGGCGCTGACGGGCATTCCCCGCTGTGGTTCTGGCATGGGCATCTGTGGCAATTCCGCCATGCGATGCGCTCAGCACACCGAGTTAGGTGGTTTGTGCCCCGGGAGCTCCCGGGGTCTGCCCCTGCTCGTGCGTGTCCCCTCTCTCAGACTCCCGGGTGGGACGCAGCCAGCCCCTGGGCTGCCTGTGTCCACGGGGCCACAGCAGACTGCCTGAGGGAGGCGCGTGCGCACACACTCCCGCTCACACCCACACACACTCACACGCCATGATGGTGGCACTGGGCCTGCCCACAGGCCGGGCCCCGGGGGTCTGTGCTTACCCGAGTGGCAGGCCTGAGGGCGTCTCTGCACCAGATGGGCTCAAGGCTGGCTGAGGAGGACGGACACGTCAGCCTTGCACGGCCTGTGGCGGGACAGTAGGGTCCCAGCCGCCAGCTGAGTCGGCTCCTTGGGACATGCTGAGTCCCTTTCCCTCCCCCGTCCCGACAGAAATCTGGGGCAGAGCAGGTGTTTGGGGACATGTCCAGTGACACTGAGAATCAGATGGCAGAGCTCGGGGCCCTGCAGGGCGGGGTTCTGCTGGCTCAGGTGGAGCCTGGCAGACCCCAAGGCCCTGCTGACCGACAGGTCCGTGGCACGGTCACAGCCGAGGCTCAGCGTGTCCCGTGGGCGTCACAGAACAGCCAGTCACCAGGAGAAGTGGACCTCCCCAGAACCCCGTGTTGCTTCTGGGAGGGAAAGTGACCCTGGTGAGGCCATCCATGCGGCTGGCAGGCATTGCCACCCCATCAGGGTGCAAGGGCCGTGGGACCTTGTTCCCATTTCTAGCTGGCCTTGCTGGGGGCCAGGATACCCCTCGTACTGCCCCCCGAAAGTGTCTCTGGGTCACGTGGCCCAGGGGTGAGTAGGGAGGGCGTGCTGGGGCAGGCAGCACTGCAGGGGCGGGGCTTGTTCCCTCGAGGGCAGAGGGGTCCCCTGCTCCGTCGTGTCCGCAGCATGTGCACGGCATTTGCTTGGGGAATGGCGCCAAGCGAATACTCGCCATTCGGATGAATGCAGCCAGGCTGCCCATTCCAGCTCTTCTCTCCGCACTCGAGGAGACAGAGCTGTTTGCCCTGGGGAGGGGGTCCTTCACCCTAGTGCTGCAGGGCTGCTGGGCGGCCCTGAGGGTCTCGGGGGGCAGGTGTCCTTGAGTGGCCTCTGGCCTAGAGCTTCTGTTCCCTGGACCCTGACTTGGGGGTGACCATGCTGGTGTTGCGAGCTGTGTGGTGACCCTCCCGCCACGACCACAACCTGAAACGCTGTGCACCTGCTGGTCCCAGTGACCACGCTTCAGGATGGCAACTGTGTGGAACCTTCTGGAGCCTTGGGAGGAGGAAAACCGAGGCTGAGCCCTCCCCCCGTCCCTGCTCTGGAAAAGATGCTTGCAGAGCTGTGCCTGGCGCTCCCGTTGTCCCTAGAGGCCCTCGGCGAGGCCAGCCTGGCGCTGTGCACCTCAGGAGCCTCCTCGGGTCCCTCACCTCTGGGGCCCGCAGCCAGGTCTTATCTTGGCCCCACATAACTCACATGGAGGGCATGGGTGGTGGGTTTGTTGGGCCCCGGTGCCGCCTGGGCCCAGAGTGGGTGGGCCGGCCATGGTTGGCAGCTACGTGTGGGAGCGGGACGCAGGGTAAGATGTACGTGTGCTCATGGCCTTGCTCATGGGCTTGAGATGTGCAAAGGGGCTCCCAGCTTGCCTGTCATGAACCTCAGCTCTTACCCCACCACCCCCAAAGTCGCCCAGTGGCATCCCTTGTCATTCTAGAATTTTCCATCTTGTCTTGGTGTCAACAGAAGAAACAGTGTTCTCTCCCCTGCCCCCGGTGCACCTTTGTCTGCTGGTCACCCGCTCCCCAGCCACGGGAGGGTGGAGGGGCCATAGCACAGAGTACTTAACTTTTCTCTCCTTCCCCTCTTCCCCACCTTCCTACCTTTCCAGGAGACGTTCTCTTTCAGATGGCCGAAGTCCACAGGCAGATTCAGAATCAGTTGGAAGAGATGGTGAGGCTCCTGGGGAGGAAGGGGCAAATGCAGGGGGGCAGGTCAGTCAGAGGCGAGGAGAAAGCAGGCTGTGTGCTTTGGCCATGTGTCCATTTGGGAACGTTGTGTCATCGTGTGGCTGCACTCAGAAAGATGGGGACAAATCCCAAGCCCGGGACAGAAGTCACATAATGGGGAGGTGACTCATCGTGAGGGCCAAGGACAAACAAGCAGCCAGGAGGAAAGGGCCCAGGCCACACGGGATCTCATACTCCAGGCAGGGACACGGGGTTGCGGGCCTGAGGAGCACACACGTGCTCAGATTCCAGGCCCAGCCAGGACCCAGTAGGTCTAAAGTGAGGGGTCACTCGGGCCCCTCTCAGTTTGCTCGTGTCAGCTTGAGTAATTCTTCAGCGCTGGAGAGCAGATGGGGGATGGTGGGGAGCGGTTTCTGTGTTCGCCCTGGGAAGCGGAGCCCCCGATGGTATCCAAGGCCAGGACGGTCTGACGTCCCCACTGCTGTTCAGCACTCGTTCCTGGAGGCTTCTGGCTCCGGCTCCCCAGGGCCCGCCTGTCTGTGCAGGCTCATTGGCTCAGGGATCAGACGGGCCCCCTGTCCCTCGGGGTGGCTCGTGTCTGGGGCGCTGTGGTGACCATCCACCTCTCCTGGGAGGGCCCTCCCCCACCCGCCTCGTGCCCCGGCCTGCGTCGTGCTCACTGTCCGTGTGTTCTCTCCGTGTCCAGCTGAAGTCTTTCCACAATGAGCTGCTCACACAGCTGGAGCAGAAGGTGGAGCTGGATTCCAGGTACCTGAGCGTAAGTAGCCAACACCTGTCGGGTTGCCCGCACTGCTCCCCCTCACGCTCGGCATCTCCCGGGTGGTCAGCTCGCTGCGAGCCTGCCATCCTGCAGGTTCCCCGGCCCTCCCCATGCCTGCCCGTCTGGGAGTGAGCGCAGCGCGTGGGGGAAGCCGGCTCGTCCAGTGCCTTGCGCACCCAGTTCTGGCACCCCCGCAGCTCGCCACCTTCCGTAGTGACGATGGCACCACGCTGCCCCCCTGCGGAGCCTGCAGACTCCGTCTCTGTGACCTGGAGGCCTTGGTGCCCCGTCCCTATGCCGTCACCTCTCCCCAGGGCCAGAGCGGCCCGAGGTGCTGCCCTCTGTCGGGGTGTGCGACCTGAGCTCATGGGAGGCGCCCTGGCTCTTGGCGGCGGAGGAAGGGGAGAGGCCCAGATTTCGTGTGTGGGACCATGGGCCGCCGCAGGAGGGTGAGGCCTGGGTCGGCCGTGCTCCCCCCTCAGCCTGCAGCCAGGTGTTGCCGGCCGCCCTCGGGGCCGTGCGGGCTGAAGCTGTGCAGAGAGCGGGAAGGGCCATCAGCTTATGGGTCTGTGTGGCGTCTTTGACTCTCAGGCCGCATTGAAGAAATACCAGACGGAGCAAAGGAGCAAGGGTGACGCTCTGGACAAGTGCCAGGCCGAGCTGAAGAAACTCCGCAAGAAGAGCCAGGGCAGCAAAAACCCGCAGAAGTACTCGGACAAGGAGCTGCAGGTAGGACTCGGGCCCGCTGTCATGACTCCGGCGGCCCCTTGAGCGAGCAGTGCCGAGGAAGCATTCCCCTCCCTGGGCCCTCTTGGTGGACCTGGGCAGAGCCGGGCTCTGTTCTCCCGGTGGGTTTGGGGCAGCGAGTACCTCCCATCCTAGAGCCGGCAGATGGCCGGCGTGGGCCTACGGCCCCCCTGCCCTGCTCTCGGAGCCTCGGTGGGGCACTGGAAGGCTTGCTGCCAAAGGAGCGGAGACCCCAAGGACATCTTGCTCTGTCCTCTGGATTCTGCCCCCAGGACTGGGCCCAGACTCCGCAGGCTGACGCTGGCCGGTCAAGTGTCTCAGCGGCCCGAGAGGCACAGGGCACAGGAGGGCGCAGGAGGGGCCCGCCCTGGTGTGGCCTCCCTCACCACTGGGCCCAGCGTTGCAGGCACCGTGTGCGCAACGGACCAGGGATTTGGGACAGCGTGGCCCTAATATACCTGATTCACCCGAACCCCCTGGCCAGTTGACACGGATCAGGCCCACAATACCCGCTGCCTGAGGCCCCCCGTAACTCAGATGAGGAGGAAAGACAAAACAGCTCCCAGCCACTTCGGGGCGAGGGGAGCCCCATGGGGCGGGCACGGGCGTGAGCCCCTCATCTCCTGAGGCCCCACCCTTGGTGCCGGCTGTCAAGTTGGCAAGCCTTGAGGTGCGCCGTGCACCCCGCTCTTCCCCACGTGTTTGCGTCTGCCTACAAGTGCCTCGCGGGCACGCACCCCGCACCCTCCCCTAGTGTGGTGCTGGCGAGCAGCCCACCTGGTGGGGCGCAGGGGCCTGGCAGCAGCAGGTGAGAACTGTCACCCTGCATGCAGAGCACCACGGCCTAGTGAGGGGAGCGGAGGTGCCGGTCGTCCGGGGCAGCGGTGGAACAGCGCCCGCCATTCTCAGCGTGACTTGCCCTTGTCAGGCGCGTCCTTGCGCCATGCTCTTGGCTCCGTCATGCCCGGTGACTGCCCCTAAGCCGTCACCGCCCTGGAGGCCTGAGCCCCTGAGGCTGTCCGGCGGGGGGCCCTTATAGGCGGAGTCGGATCTAGAAGCGGGCTGTGAGGCTGAGGGGTGGAGAAAGCCACACTTCGCTGGATGTCTCCGTTTCATGTCCCCCCCCAATGTGTTTGTCATTTTGCTCCCTGAAAGCTTGATCATGATTGGCGCCCCCGCCCCCTGGAGACCATGACCCCCCTCGGCACAGCTGTTTGCACCAGAGCTCGCCCTAGGGGGCCCTGGGCTGGTGGGGCGCTGGGGCACCAAGGCCGGCTCGTCCAGGCTTCAGCCACCTGCCAGGTGGGACTGGGAGCCTGCGCACCCCCCCTTGAGGCGCTTTTTTCTTCTCTTGGATTCAGCTTTGAAATACGGTTCACGTGCCATGGAAGGGACACGGGGCGGCTTTGCGTGTGGCCATCTGTATGGCTATGCCGCTGTCCGCACGCTCCATTTTAGAGGGTTTCCAGCACCCCAGAAAGGAAGCCCCTGCCCATCAGCGGGCACCCGTGCCCCCCAGGCAGCCAGTGACCTACCATCCGCGTGTGACTCGGCCCGGTCTGGGCATCACGCGTGAATGGAGTCCCCACTGTGTGGCCTCCTGCATGTGGTCCCTCACACTCAGTTCTCGAGGTTCATCCACCCTGTGGCCTGTGCTTCCTTCCCTTTTACAGCCGTAAACGTGGAGGCTGTGTCCTGAGCAGGGCCTGGGCCCTGGACCCGTGGACCTGCCCTGTGACCAGCCTTCTGGGGGCCGTCGCAAGCACACTTGCAGCTGGAGGGTAGCGGTCGCAGCAGGATGCTGGCCAGCAGGTCCTGCGCCCGGGGTGGGGGGGCGGGCTGGGTGGAGGCCAGACCCCAGGGCTGGCGGCCTTGATGGCATTCGCCCCTGCTCCACGGGGAGCCTGAGACCCCCGTGTCCGCGGAGTCTGGAGACTGCTGCATCTGGCTCCCAGCCGCCCACACCCCTCGGTGCTCCCTGCTCCGCCCTGGACCCTGGGCCTGTGGAGCCAGAGGGGGTTTGCTTCCTTAATTGGGCAGGGCCGGAAGGGGACCCGGCAGGGGCTCTTCATGCACTACTCTTGCTGTGCTGGAAAATTGGGGGCCCTTTTCTCCCTGCACGGGGTCTCCCCGCAGTGCCCCAGTTGGCGAGCTGGACACGCCCACCCTGGCCTCCTGGGGCTCCTCCTCAGAGATATACAACTGCTCTTTCTTCCCGTCTGAGGGTCACCCCCTGACCAAGGACCCCCCGTGCCCCCAGCACGGCCAGGTCACGTCCCCTCCTCCCTGGGCTCCTGCCGTACAGCAGCGTCTGGCACCCACCTTGTGGCTTGCAG